GCGCGAGCAAGCGCCGCACTCAACAGCATCTCTTCCGGGCCTAGGGCGCCAAACATACTCAATCAACAAACTTCTAACTGCATTTTCCCTCTTGGGTCTCTCCAAAGTGAACTACAGCTGAGGTGGGAGAGTCTGTCCATAGGACAACAATCAGTCGTGCACTGCACAAATCTGGCCTTTATGGAAGAGTGGCAAGAAGAAAGACATTTCTCAAAGATATCCATAAAAAGTCTTGTTTAAAGTTTGCCACAAGCCACCTGGGAGACACACCAAACATGTGGAAGAAGGTGCTCTGGTCAGATGAAACCAAAATCAAACTTTTTGGCCACAATGCAAAACGATATGTTTGGCGTAAAAGCAACACAGCTCATCACCCTGAACACACCATCCCCACTGTCAAACATGGTGGTGGCAGCATCATGGTTTGGGCCTGCTTTTCTTCAGCAGGGACAGGGAAGATGGCTAAAATTGATGGGAAGATGGATGGAGCCAAATACAGGACCATTCTGGAAGAAAACCTGTTGGAGTCTGCAAAAGACCTGAGACTGGGACGGAGATTTATCTTCCAACAGGACAATGATCCAAAACATAAAGCCAAATCTACAATGGAATGGTTCACAAATAGACGTATCCAGGTGTTAGAATGGCCAAGTCAAAGTCCAGACCTGAATCCAATCGAGAATCTGTGGAAAGAGCTGAAGACTGCTGTTCACAAACGCTCTCCATCCAACCTCACTGAGCTCGAGCTGTTTTGCATGGAAGAATGGGAAAGAATTCCGGTCTCTGGATGTGACCTGATAGAGACATACCCCAAGCGACTTGCAGCTGTAATTGCAGCAAAAGGTGGCGCTACAAAGTATTAGCGCAAGGGGGCCGAATAATATTGCATGCCCCACTTTTCAGTTTTTTATTTGTTAAAAAAGTTTAAATAATCCAATAAATTTCGTTCCACTTCACGATTGTGTCCCACTTGTTCTTAATTCTTGACAAAAAAATAAATTTTTATATCTTTATGTTTGAAGCCTGAAAGGTTTCGCAAGGCACTGTATATCCATAATCAGATCCTCTGCAGATGTGTCCTATAATGTTCAATTAATGAAAATAACTTCTTCTGGGTTTACCACGATCGCTTTTTTGTGTGCATGAAAAGGTTAGCAGATAATTCTGAAAACCTCTGTGCACGTGTATTAATAATGTATATGTATAATGTTTGTTCTCCGATTTAAACAATGATTGTTACGGAAATGTAGGCGTAGACCAATCAGAAAGGAAGGGGGAGGAGCTTGGGTTGTTTTTTTCAAATCATGTACCTCTCTCTCTTTTTTCTGACGAACTCCAGACAAACACTTTCACATCCCTTTTTGATAACTCATCCTTTAAAAATGTAATCTCTAACTCACATATTGAGTAAAACACCCTCAGGTTTTACCAATAAATAAACAATAAACCAAATCCAAACCGTCTTCACCTTTTTCAGTCAAAGCTGGTTTAGCGTCGTAAAGATAGTCTTCCCTCACAGCTGCAACCTCCTCCATTAGAGTAAAGTACCGTGGTTTTGTGGGAACAGCGTGACTAATAGGACAATAGTGACATCCAGTCGTGTTTTCTATCAGCCCTGGAGAACCCCGAAGCTAGCGAACAGAAAGGTGTCAGTACTCAAGATGCTACACCAAATCTGTTTCTCTCCTATAGATCGGATCGGACTGTCTTTGCTGGAATGGCACAATGTTGACCAAGCAGACTATTGATTTAAAACACACTGGACGCAAGTGGGTATTGACCACGTAGTAATTGAGTGTGTGCATACAGAGACTTTTTTGTTAGGAAGGCCCAGAGTGCTTCACATTGACTGGTTTATTGACGGGATATTCCATTTACTTTTTAAGAAATCTCTGCGCACATAAAAGCCCTTTAGTTTGTATTGTACAGTTATCCATTGTGAGATCAATAAAGTTTATCTTATCTTATCTTAGTATAATGTTATTCTAACTGTGTTAAAGGAGCTATCTGCAAGGTTTGAATGTTTAGCACCGCCCCCCACCTTGCTCACAGGCTTCTCATTTCCCCTACGCTCTCATCCCACGGAGCCACCTAGTTTTATTAGCGATCCATGAGCAAACATTAGCATGAGCGCAACTTCTTGTAAGCTGTACAACAATCGCTGATGAAATGGTACAAAAGCAACGCACTGCTAACAAAATATATAACTGAAAGATTACCGCTAGTTCCGCGTCCGAATGTAGTCCGAGCATAGATAGTCCGAGGCAGTCCCGCAGGTCTCTCCCATTGACAAGTCTCTCCAGAGGATACGATGTAAGCTAGCTATGTTCACACAGGCTTGATTTCTTCTTTGATCATTTTTTAGCTTTAGTTCCCTCTTCTCTTCCTCTCTGTTGTGTCGTTTGGGCTGTTTTGCTGTATCTGCAGTTACAACCAGAGGAGTTATAGCCAATTCTGCTAACATGCTACTGTGTTTAGCAGCGCTGTAGAGGCTAGAGGACGCAGCCTGTTCTGTGATTGGAGGAGAGTCTCTTCTCAGCACTTTTTACGGCCTGAATTCATACACAGCTGAATCAATGAGCTCAAGTTTTCAATTAAATTACAGATTATAATAACCCTTGTATGTAGTGATAAGCATTTTTATGAACTCATAAAAAAAAATCGGGCATCTTTAAGTTTTGAACAACTGTAAAAAAGAAAATAAAACTGCAATAATATGACGTATGGATTTAAGAGCATTGTCTCAATGGATGTGGGAGTTCTGGGAAGTGCTCATTTGCAGATCAAACCTTTTAATTAGGAAAACCCAGAATTGAGATTGACGAGGTTCTATCTACAAATCTTTAGTATTGGATTATTTTTCGTCAAGCAAATAATTTAATTTACTACACTACTTAGATTCTCTAAACTTGTTCAACTCTCGCACACCTGGATGAAATATGTGTTAAATGTGATTTAAGCCTGGTGCACACAGTTTTTCCAATGTGGTTTTACTGCAAATGGTAAATACACTTTTGAATCATGAATTATCTGGACCTAAAGCCAATTAATTATAAAAATCAATGTTGTTGGATTTTATAAAAAAGTCAAGTTTGTCTTTGATTGAAAAATCAAAGACAGTTAGAAAATTTTATTTCAGTTTTTTGATACAAAGCCACATTCATGAGCACCTGTAGAGGACAGTGCACCTTGTGGTTCAGTGGAGTAAAGCTAACAACCTCCAGCTGAACGCATCGAAAACATGTGAACTGGTCTTCGACTTCAGTCGTAACAGTTCTCACACTCCTGTTGCTATTGATAACTGCCAGGTGCAGATTAGAGGAGTGCACGTTTCTGGGTTTAACTCTGTCTAACGACCTGAAATGGGTCAAAAACACTGACCGGGTCGTTAAGAAAGCTCGTCAGCGTCTCTACTTCCTGCGAAAACTTAGAGAATTTACCACTAACTCTAAGATTCTGCTTAACTTTTATCGCTGCACGATTGAGAGTTTACTTGTTGGTTCTGTGTCTATGTGGTTTGGAAACATCACAGATAAAGAAAAGAGAGCTTTAAACAAGGTGCTCCGCTCTGCAAAGAGGACCGTGGGCTGTGAGCTTCCTGTTCTGGAGGTTCTTTATAAATCCAGACTTATAAACAAAGCTCTTAAGATTGTCAATGACTCTTCTGGCCACCCTGGGAAAGCCATGTTCCAGCTTCTTCCCTCTGGTAGAAGATATCGTTCTGTGAGATGCAGGACATCTCGTTATGTGAACGGCTTTTTTCCACAAGCTGTTATCTGTTTGAACAGAGCACTTTAATGATTTGCACTTGTTTTGAAACTGTTTTAGTCGATCGATTTCACAGTGACATTTGTTTACTGTTTTATTTGTTTTATTTCTGTCTTTTATTGTTGTTTTATGTCTGTATTTGTCTGTGCACACTGGTGACTTTTTGCTTAAGTATTCCAATGTGGTTTTGTTACTGCAAATGGCAAATAAACTGAACTGAACGGAACTGAGGACAGTGCACCTGTAGAGGACAGTGCACCTGTAGAGGCCATGAAGCTTGTGTGTAAATGTGTGTCTCTAAAGGCTCAGTGCTCAGAGTCACGTGATTATTTATATTTAACAACTCTCAGTCAACAGTCTCCAAACACATTTTAAACACTTAAACTACATTTCAAATGCATGTTTGAAATGGAGCTGTTCGACTAATCGACAAAAACGAGGGCTGCCTCACTGAAATAACAACAGTGCATCACGTCACCGTTGATCTGTGGACGTCTCTGAAAGGTGCTTTTGCAGCGCGAGCCGCACACGTGTCAGTGATGTGCACACGCACACGCACTGGTGCTGTGACTGCGGCCAGCGTCACTCCGCACTCACACGAGGATGCGAGAAGAGGGAAAGACCAAATTGTTGCTATATTGGACCATGCTCCGATGCAGCTGCGCTATTTTTAGCCAGGAACTACATCAGCTCTGACTGCAGACACTACGGGGAAATCTCCTGCAGCCGCTGTTCTGCCGCTGTCTCCGCACCGCGCGCACCGCGCACACGCACAGCTTTGAAGCAGCCGGACGCGTGACAGCGGGAAAGAAAAACACGCCATGGCTTTGGACGGAGTTTCATAGCGGCTGTTTGGACGAACATGTCACCCGGGCGTGATGCTGCCGGAGAGCTCACGGCGGATCAGCGTTGATGTGCGCGGCTCGGCAGGTGGTCGCGCTCCTCTGAACACAGCCCCTTGACCAGAGGCAGCAGCTCAGACCAGCGGCCAGACCAGCGGCCAGACCAGTGGGACACGTGCTAAAAGTTGTGGTGTGTTGGTGCGTCCTCAGCCTGCATGGCCCGGACATGGAGCAGCACGAAAGAGTCAAAAGCCACGGAGCCAAGGGTCACTGCCCGGCCGCGTGTGAGGACGAGTTCAACAGTCACGAGCTGGAGGCGCTCTTCCAAAACTATAACTTGAAGCTGGAGCAGACCTCCACACTCAAGGCTCTGGCCGTGCTCATCGTAGCCGCGTCCTCGCTGTCGTTGCTGGAGCTGTTGTCCAGTCCGCGTCTCACTTTGTCCAAGGGCTCGTGTCCAGTGCACTGCGTGGTCTTCCTCTCGCTCTTCATCGTCACTAACGTCAAGTACTTACACGTGACGCAGCTGCAGCAGATCGCAAAGCTTGCACTTCTCTTTAGCTTCACCTTCGCTTTGTTATGTTGTCCGTTTCCACCTGCGCTCACCGGGGCGCGCGAGGGCACCGTGGGCGCCGTGGGACCCGAACAGGGCGTCTGGCAGCTCATGCTGGTCACACTCGTGGCCTATGTGCTGCTGCCCGTCCGCACTCTCTTGGCTGTTCTGTTTGGCGTCATGCTGGCAGCGTCCCACTTCATTGTCATTGCCACATCTTTCAACGGAAAAAAGCACAAACTTTGGAGACCGGTAAGTCAGGCAGCTTCAAAACACTTGCTCATGGCGACACTCCTCCATGAAGTCTCACAATGTAACACCACTGAACACTCACATCAAGTATCATTGTTATACCAAACATTTGATACATAAATAATCTAATTATGTTAAAACTCAATCAAATGGCTCTAAGGGAAAGTAAACGGATAAAGCAGTGATTTATGCTCCAGGAAAAACAAGTAATTTTAATTCTGTGTGCAGAAGTTGAGGAGCTGTCCGGTGCTGAAACTCACAATGTTGTCTCATGGCTCTTTCCCAAAGTCCTTCTCAAAACATAAACCAGAGACTGTACAACATGTTGTAAATACCGTGTTGATATAGATAAAAATCTAAACATAAACAGTTAAGTGTAGGTAGTTTTGAACAGCTGTAGATAATATGTGATCCTGGTGTTCTGATACATTCTGTACCTTTTACCTCGTATACATCCAGCTTCACTAAATTTCCACATTTAGTGAAACTTTCTTTTGAATAAAACAATTTGTTATCTTGGAGGAATTGCCAACAGACTTGTGACGTGCTGCTATTGTATCGGATCATTAGAATAACAAACCTTCAGCATGTGCTTCTGTTCTTTACATCTCACCTCAGCCATAATCCTCATGTTGACCTTGATAACTGCCATTCTATTCGTCATATGGATTAAAGCATGGATTGCAAACTCTAATCTAGGAAAAATAATATACTAGATTAACTCCTATAGATCCAACCCCCTGAGATCCTAAGATAACAGTTATATGTTGTGACTTGAATACAGATTTGTTTGGTTTTAAAGTTTGGTTTGGCACTTCAATAAACTCTTGTCTTCTCGTCCGTGCGGCCTGTTTAGGTTGAAGGATTTGTCCTCAGCAAAATCCATCAGAATCTTTTCGGCTCAAATGACTGCTCTGTGTGGTGTCTTTTATTCTTTGACTGATGTCTGAATACATATTTTTTTGTAGTAATAAGCTGTAGCTACATAATGCCTTTGATATTCTATTTTAATCTAATGATAATCTATCTTCTTATTTTGCCAAATTTAGAGATATTATACTTCTTTATTATGCTAAAGATAGAGATTTTTTACTTGTTTCTTGATCTGAGATTTTGAGATGATATTTTATTTTAATTAGTACAGAGTTATTGTTCATTAATCCTTTGCTGAGTGCTCCTCATTCCTACTGTTCTGTACCCGGTGATGCAACACTGACATTTCCCCACTGTGGGACGGATAATGGATCTCTTAATCTTTAATTATTCTAATAAAAGTATGATATCAGAGATTTTAAAAATGTGTAGGTAGAATAGTTGGTAGGTGTAGGCAGGTAAGTTGATAGGAAGTAGTGAATAGTGATTTATAGTGACTGGTTTTATAATTTAGTGCTGTGTCTTAGGACCCATAAATAAGAAAAATGTTTCTTCATGGGTGTTTCCCATTTAAAAATATGCAATGTCACTAATTATACATGAATATTACTTGCTTCTATTTGGTATTTGTGATAAACTGAACTTATCTGAAGGGCGGGACATAGTGGGAAGAATGCTTTTTCCTTTGTGAATGCATGTGTCAAAGTACCGAGTTGTTAGGATGATCTTTTGTGGACGCTGGTTTATAGGCTTCTCTTTTTCCCTGCAATGAGAGTGGGTTTGTGTTCACAGAGAATTATTATGATGTTTTCATTGGGGTTTGTCCGTCTGTCTGTCTGTCAGGTCGCAGCATAACTCGAAAATTGGTTGAATTTTAACAATATTTGTTTGTGTTGCTTTTGTCTCCATGCAAAGCAGAGACAGTTACTGTAAACTAGACAATACTGTGTGACATCATAGTTAGTATTCAGGGAAGTGCTGAATTATAATGGCTTGGCAGTCAGTAGTCAGTGAGAGGACCACGTGATCCTCTGGGCTTTGACTACTGTAGTTATTTTAATATTTTACTTATGTGCCTTATGTGGATTCTGTCACATCAGAGATAAAACCTCTGCCTTAGTGACACATTTGAAACTGTAGGACCATGACAAAAACACATGATATCTATCTATTGCTATAGCTTTTGAGAATGATAAATGTATTTGTTTTGTTTGTTTGGATGGATGTGTTTTGCTGCTACTGGACTCCTGCATTTCTCCTACGGGGATCAATAAAGTATCTATCTATCTATTTATCTACTTGCATCGACACTGGCTGAACATCGGTATGCCTTGTTACTGTAACTACCATCGGCCATCGGCAAATAAAAATGACATTGTCCGATGGTGGCGCGTGCAAAGAGACACCAATAGAGGGCGTTTGCGTTTCCTCAGTAGAAGAAACAAAGCAGATGGCGGCGGTCGTGTGGCAAAGGTTTACAGTATCAGAAAAAGATCAGCATTATGCAGCTTGCACATGTTCAGTGAGATTTCAAGAGCTGCTAGAAAATCATTGAAAACAAAGAATCTCATTGGACGTTTGAGAAGCAAACGTCCAATGAGAAAAACGAAAAACTGACACCTCCAAGAAACATATAAATAACAAACATCGACCATCGACCAAGTTGTTATGTTAAACATCTGTAATAGTATTGGCCCTATTTTTCAAGTTATATGCGCTACGTTTCAATGTATCCAGGGCTCTATTAAAACTCTCAACCAGGATAATGTTGACACACACACACACACACACACGTCCCTATGCACTCACCTGAGGCAGCGTCTCATACCTCAAACATGAAGAAAAGGACGTCGCCTTGTAAATAGACAGAGCGCGGCCCATGATTGTCCTGAAGTCCAGAACGCGGCCCATAATTGTCCTGAAGTCCAGAACGCGGTCCATAATTGTCCTGAAGTCCAGAACGCGGTCCATAATTGTTCTGAAGTCCAGAGCGCGGTGCCTCAAACTTAACTCACATTCGTTTTGTGTCCACCCACAGACACCCTCTGTAACCACAGGAACAAAGGCTGTCCGTGGGTGACAGCAAGTTGTCAACAAAACTTTCCAAATAAGTTTTTTAGATAGTTTATAGTCAGTGAGTTTTTTAACTTTTTAACCTTCACTCCTTGAAGAAAGCAATGTCATTTTTTTGGGCAACAGTGGCTCAGTTGGTAGAGCATTGGCCTTGGAGCCTGAAGGTTGTGGGCTCGATCCCACCACGAGACCTTCTCCAGTGTATAATAATATGTATAATGTATAATACTGTAAAATACAGTTTGTAGAGTGTGTGTTGAGGGGTTTTACAGCCCTCAACACACACTTTAAGGGATATCAGCTACTTCAAGGGATATCTTTAGAGCGTAACCCCGGAGATAAATGAGGGACCGCTGTATGGGAAAACAAACTCTAAACAAGTGAACATGCATCCACTAGTTACTGTCAGTTTACATCATTTCATACAGATCTGTGAAGCATTGTCCTCCAAGTGAACCTGACTTGGTCCAGTTAAAAGTGCATTATGGAACGTTTTATGTGAAAAAAGTTGATATTTTTGATCTTGTAGTACCCCAGTGGCTGTAAAGACTATTGCCTTTGTTACTAAATGGGAACAGAGTCCACTTGACCGGTACGGGTGAAAGCGCCGTCAGGCTATTTGAGCGGGAATGCGGTGACAAATGTTTGCAAATATGTGGGTAGCAACGACAAGAGCCAGTGAGAAGCGATGCTGGTCTGCCCCCGGATTTACAAAGACATTATCAAAATATAAAAACTGGAATCACAGAGAGAACAAAACTATTTTTTAAGCACATAATGGTGAATGTAACTCAAACTGTCCCAAGGCTCCCAGAGTTCACTTTTCAATGTGAGTCAATAGGAGCCAAAGCAACAGAAAGCAACATTTGTCTATGAGGACTTCCCATTTGAGTCTCATTGAGCCAGTTCTGGGTTAGCATTGTCCAATACATTATCGTTCCTCATGTGACAATAATTTATGTGTTGTTTTATAACCTTTTTCCCCTGACTCATATCAGTCGTTGGTCTAAATTTCCGCTCTGGTTGGTCTGCATGAACACACTGAGTATGCCCCGGGACAAAGTGTAGGATTCGAGGAAGTGTCTTTTTGAAGTGTTGCACCCTCGTCTGCACCCGAAAATGCCCCTGCGTTGAAATCCAATCACTGAACTTGGACGTTCCTGGTATTTGTTTGCGGCACAGAGCTGGATAAGATCTGGAAACAGCTCCAAGTGATTTTGAGTCGTGTTTGGAGACGGCTTAGCACTTTCTTTGCATGTGCTCTGCTGTGTGCTTTAGGCATAGCGTAAAATACAAAGAGATGTCGAGTGCCACCCTTGATGCTCAGTATGTTTGCACCAATGGTATGAGTATGAGTATGAGTACAGCCCTATGGTATTGACCCAATACCAGTATCGGTATCGGTGCAGCCCTAGTGTTCAGGGCTAACAATGATAACAATAATAAACAGTGAGCAGAATGAACGCCTGACCGTAAAATTTCATATTTTACGGTCAAGATGCTATTGATGCCTTTTTTATAAATGGTTTTGTCTTCTCTCTGAGGGCTACAGAAAAGCTCTGAGGGCCAATAAGTTCAATTCAATTCAATTCAATTCAATGTATTCTTGTATCACCCCAAATCACAAAGATCACAAATAGAGAACACATAGGTATTGGTCCATAGAGAGACCAATGTCCATATGTGTTGATAAATGTCATGAGGAGTGGCTGTTCCTTCACATGTCTGGAAAACAGCCATATATCCTTAGATGCCACTGTAATTTATGCATGTATAATTAATATATTTATTTTTTAAGGGCAACACCTGTTAAATCTGCACCCATTAGAACTCCTCAAAGCAGAATTTCCTGAAGTTCCATGACCTGCTGGTCTTGACACGCTCTGTGGCGTTTGCACATATATGTAACGACGTGCCCGCTCTTGTTTGTCTGCCTACAGCTGGTGGCCAACGCCGTGCTGTTCACCAGTGTCAACCTGTCGGGGGTGTTCGTGCGCATCCTCACCGAGCGCACCCAGAGGAAAGTCTTCTTACAAGCCCGCAACTGCATCGAAGAGCGGCTCAGGCTGGAGGACGAGAACGAGAAGCAGGTAGGGGGTAAAAGAACTCTCCAGCTCCAGGCAGCGAGAAAACAAAACACAAGTTCAAGCCTTGCCACCCCCACCTTTACATCCTCATTATGTCTTCACTGTCACTTGAGGAAAAAAACGCGGGTTATTTTTTATTTTTTTATACAGTTCCAGGTGTCAATGTATTCTAACAACCTGCTCACAGGCACGCAGTAACACGCAGCAGCTATTTTTGGAAAGAACAATTACCGTATCACAGGCACAAGCGCTCGATCCCTCCTCCCTCGCTGTTGCACACCTACAATGCCATCGATTAACTAAAGAACAGTCGTGTCACTTTACACACACTTTGAATATGCGCCCCTCGCTCTCTAACCTTGCACTTTGGGGACATGAAAACGAACCGAACGTCCAAAGTTCCATGTCTTTCTGCTTGTGCATTACAGACGTGCGCACACTTTTAGCACCTGCGCTTTGTAGATTTGACGGCGATATGCTGTTTTTTCTCAGCAGTGGCGGACTCCCTTCTGACAGGTAATTACACCAGCAGATTGCTTTCATGGCCTCCATACTTCAGTAAAGGTCACAGTTTATCTGGGTGAAAGAAACACATGCAGACCTCTGATTGGAATCTATCAACAGGCTTCCTCAACCCAAACATCACAGATTTGAATTTCAGCCTTCAAAAGGGGGATTTTTCTTCTCATTATACCATGAGTTTGAATCAGTTTGTACTGATCACAGCAGGTCAATACAACAGAAATCAGGCATTTGGAGAGCACAGATTTCACATTTCAGCTACACAACTAGAGCAGTACAGCAGCCACATCCTTGCTGTGACTGTCACCTTTCCAGCCGTTCAGTAGTTTGTGAGAATATCCCAGGCAGGTGGTAATCTTTTGGGCAGGTTATCAGCATAAAGGAGTGGAAGTTAATGGATCTTTAATACATCTCTATTAGAGCAGTGCAGTCAAATAGCACATAGAGAATTAAGCCAGGGACAGATCAGAGGAATGGAAATCATTACAGTGCGATTAGAAGACGTTTCCATAGAGAGGACCAAGAAAGATTAATAACTCAGATAAATGAATTATTCAATCAAAAGCAGCACACCTTCACACACAGATGATTTACATAGACGGTACACACTCGACACGTTCGGTGGCGGCCCATATGGACGAACATACTCTCCCCGCGGCCTCTGCTGGGGAAAGGGAGTGTGAAGAGAAAAGCCTGTGTACAGTTATGGTTTTATTGGCAGGTGAAGAGCAGCTGTGTGAATGGATGGAAATGCAAGAGACACACAGGAGAGCCCTAGCTGTTTTCATAAGCAGTTTCTCAACAGCTTTTGAACTGAGCTACTGATGTTCGTTGTGCATTCACGACCATTTGACATCCCACTAGAGTTTAAAGTGTGCTCTTCTACTGCCGCAGAGACAGTTTAAATAGGCAAACAGATGTCATGGTGTGGATTTGTTCTGTGGTTTCATTGGTAGTTTTACTTCCTGTGTGGTTGTCTGGCCCGTCCAAATATTTCTCTATATTAGGGGTGTCAAACTCATTTAGGTTGAGGGCCAAATAAAAAAATAAAAAACATAAGAGCTGGTTGGGGCTACTGGAATAACAGTTTTACATATTTTTTCATTCACTTTATTTGACTTTGAGTATCATTTAAGAACAGAATTACATGGTTGTTTTCCAATAGACAATAGGCTTTAAAATAAAGTGTAACATGCCATAGTAGCTCATTACCATCAATGCTACAAGTTACTGCAATAAAGATAATCTAAAATTATTTCAGGGGCTACAAAAAATGGTCTTGCGGGCCGGATTTGGCCCCTGAGCCTGGGTTTGACATACCTGGTCTGTATGTACCCTGTGCTCATCCTTGTGTGTTGCTGGTCCACTGTCTTTGTCCGTCTGTTTTCCTGAGTTTTGTTTGGTTTTGAGTTTGTTTTTACCTTGGACGTTTATTTTCATCATTCTTTTCATTATTTTTATATTCTACCATATTTTTCATGTTTGCACACTTCTGTCTTTTGCACAACCTGAGTGACCCTATCTATGCCAAAGTGACATGTACAGTAACATCAGCAGCTTTTTACCATCTAAAAAACATTGCCAGGATCAAAAACATAGTGTCTAAAGCAGACTTGGAGATTTTTATCCATGCATTTGTCTCCAGTAGGTTAGACTACTGCAATGGCCTGCTCACAGGTCTGTCCAAACAGGCTGTAAAACAGCTGCAGTACATTCAAAATGCAGCAGCTCGAGTCCTGACTAGAACCAGGAAGTACGACCACATTAGTCCAGTTCTCAGGTCTCTGCACTGGCTTCCTGTGGCTCAGAGAATAGACTTTAAAACAGCTCTGCTTGTGTACAAGTCTCTCCATAGCCTCGCACCAAAATATATAAGTGACATGTTAGTCCCATATGAACCAGCCCGGACTCTGAGGAGCACAGGCACTGGACTCCTGTTAGTGCCCAGAGTCAGAACTAAACATGGGGAGGCTGCTTTTCAGATTCATGCTGCTAAAATCTGGCTGCTAAAACAGTCTTCCTGAAGATGTGAGACAGGCCTCCTCTCTGACAATGTTTAAAACCAGGTTAAAGACAGTTCTGTTTAACTGTGCATACAACTGAGGGATTTTATATTTTTATCTTTCTTTTTAATGTTCTGTGATAATTTATGATTTTAATGCTTTCTTGTTTTGTTCAGCACTTTGAATTGCCTTGTGTATGAATTGTGCTATATAAATAAACTTGCCTTGCCTTGCCTTGTACAGTACATTTCTCCAGTGTGAGATCAATGAAGTCTATCTTATCTTATCTCATCATTCCTACATCTTGAGTCCTCCTTCTTTCCAAAATAAACAGTTAAGCAGTTGAAAACGAACCCATGATGAATACTTTACACTGGAAAAAGCCCCGTCATCAATAACTTCCAAAAGTACAATCACATTCAGTCGTGACTTGAATGCAACCCAAGCAGCTGGAACCCGGGCTCCGAGAGGAAACTGAAGCTGCAGAATGTCAAACGCCAAAGACATTTCCGCCATGTCTTTTATATCATGGTGGTGCAGCTGCAGTTAAGGCCTTATGGGAGCCACAATGCTGCACACATTACATTTAATGTCTTTGTAAAAGCTTCTAATCACAGCAGTTTCAAGTCACGATAATGATCTTGAACATAAAAACGAATGGCTCACCTATGACGCTCTGTTGGATTGTGGTTGTTATAACAAGGCTGGTTAAAATGTTTACTTGAAGAGCGTTTCTTAGAACTATTAATTGGTAAAACATATTATTGTTGACGGTAACAAGTTTGACTACCGCACGTGTGCAAAAAGCACTTTTCACACTGAATGCTCTATACTGTAAATGTAAACAGTCAAAGTCACCTCATCCTTTCAATCTCTCACTTAAGAAGTTAAAGGTAAAATTTGAGGAAAGAACCGCCCTCTCCACTCTTTGAACAAAACTCTCTGGGCTTATTTGACAACAATTGGGAGGACCAATAGTCTCGATGATCTACCCAGAAGTAGAAAATCCTCCTATATACCTTTAAGTGTAATAGATGATACCTGTTGGCTTCTCTACTCATCAGCGGTGGAAAAAAGCTCTATCCTCTGCTTTTTTGTCTTGCATTTCTAATATTGTTCTCGGTCGGCCCCAACAGTCGCAACTAGTTCAGGGTTGGTGCAATTCAATTTCAATGTATTCTTGTATCGCCCTAAAACACAACAGTAGTTTTATCTGAGGACTTAACAGAACAGATGAATTCACCAACACAGATCAGAGAATCAACAGTTCAAAACAAGAAATGTATTGATTAAAAACATATAGAGACATTGGTCCATAAGGGGCAGAGACCAATGTCCATTAATGATGATAAAAGTCCATAAATATTGTAGAATGTTGAGTGTCCTGGATCATCACTGCAGTCCTTTTAGTTAGACCCATAAACGTCCAACAGACCCTCCTGCATCGGCAAGGAAAAGCTCTAAAACCCTTCATTAAATAGAACATTCCATTTACAAGTAGCAAAACAGGAGATGAACGTGACCAGCGGTGCGCATCTTCGGCACTAACTCCGGAAGTGACGTGAATTGTGGAAACCCAAAACTGTATATTCAACTTTCAGTTTCATGCAACTATCAACCACCTGTTTAGTAAACATGTTGGACATTCACCAAGGTTTCGTGTGATGTTCTCCTATATTTTCCGTACATAGAATGTGTCTAAAAGAGTAACTTTGGAGACCACAATCTGCCTGATTGTGATTATATCCATACATTCCTTTTTAAAGTTTTCATGTTCTCTGTTTCCTCCCTCTTCAGGAGCGGCTACTAATGAGCCTACTGCCCAGAAATGTTGCCATGGAGATGAAGGAGGATTTCCTGAAGCCACCGGAGAGGATCTTTCATAAGATTTACATCCAACGTCACGACAATGTCAGGTACGGGGGTGTCATGACAACTGCGCATGGGCCCGTACTGTTTTTATCCAGGTGTCACTTGCTGTGACGTCAAGGTCAAGAATAGAAGGGCAGCAATTAAGATTAGCCAATCATCGAAGGGAAAGGTTAGAAAACAAGAAGAGTGTATGGATCTCCAGTCAGGGCTGCTGTTGTTTTGGTGCTTTTTGTTGCTGTGCACCGCAGATATCGGCAAAGATGCACACTTTCTGATAACTATTAATTTTATGGAAGCAGCACTGTTGAGGAATCTTCTCTGTGCCTTCCAAGATATCTGCATCTGCCCCAAGGGTTTCACTTAGCTTTCCAAATAGAAGTTAAGCTGGAAGGAATTATTCATTAAATATATTAGCGCAAACAAGACTTCCTCCATCGTCAATATTTATATCCCTCCTTCCTATGCTGTTTCAAAAATAATACAACTCAGCCTTTGATTTGTCAATAAAGAGTTCTGGGCCCAATCTTTCACAAGGCGCTTAGCAGGCGGTGAGGAAGACAATGCTAGCCCTCGAGAATGAATTGATGAAGAGGGTGTCCATTAATTATAACGGACGTAATATTGTTAGCAGTATATGTTTCAGTTTTCTTACAATAACAATCACGTCTAATTGTTCCACAGTTATTGCATTGTATTGTTTTTCCACATTGACTAATACAGTCCTGAAAGCCTGTGCTAATTGAAACTGGTCATTAGCCTTTTTTGCGTGATTCGAGGCCGTGTGTTGAGTGAGAGAAAGTAGTAGTAGTAGTAGTAATCTTTATTTATATACCGCCTTTTCACTGCACATCGGAGTCTCAAAGCGGTTTACAATTGTTATTTTTTGGGAGTGGGGGTGCCAGTACAGGAGGCACATGCCAGACCTATTGTACATATTTTTAGTGGTAGGGGAAACCGGAGCACCCGGAGGAAACCTACGCAGACACAGGGAGAACATGCAAACTCCACTCAGAAAGGCCCTGGTCCAACCGGGATTTGAACCCAGGACCTTCTTGCTGAGAGGCGAGAGTGCTATCCACTCAGCCACCGTGCCGCCCTAAGTAACCTGACACCACTGATTAGTCCATAACACGACTGTAAAGATGTTAAGAGTGGGTAGACGAGTGCGGAAGTGGAGAGCCAGGTTAGTGTGTCAACAGCACTCGTGTCAAGAGACAATCCTTCCTCCGCTCTGTCTGTCCTCGTGCTCCGCAAAGCTGCTGCACTGGGTTAAACACCAGGCTGCTCTTGTAAACGCTGCCCGGAACAACACATTCATCCAAACACACATATGTCTGTCCATGCTGATGTTAATCCCATACGGAATTCAGGATTGTGCTTTGAATCGGCTGAATTTTCCAAAAGTAGCGTTTCATTGAGGATTACTTCATCAACCACAGCAGTTCAGGCAATTGAGTAAAAAATATATATACATTGTGGTGTGTATAAGATGAATTTAAAGCATTACAAAAAATATTTTACATTTCATCTGCTGCCAGCACTTTTGGCAAACTTGCTGTGTTTTGACTGTGTTGCTAACATTGGGCCTCATTCACAAACGGTTCTTAGGAACATTGTACGTAAATCCTACTTACGCGGTTTTTACGAAGAAAGTGGCATTCACGAATATTTCTCGTAACCAGAATTTCTCTTGGGCAAGTACAAATCCTACGAGTCCTCAGGAGCACTCGTACGCATTCAGTGCCGACATGTTCACAGCCGGGGTTGTCCTCTTTGGTCAAGTTGAATAAAAATACAACATTCCAGTGATATGTCCGTCATATCGATGTATGTATTTATTTATTTGTAGTAATCTTTATTAGTGATCTTTATTTATATACCGCCTTTTTCATTGCAGATCTGGCCTACTTTTTAATTCATTTTGAAATGAAATGTGCCATCGCTTTATCAAATACATAGGAAATCTTGCCGTGTATTAGTGACCCCTTCCTATTTATAGGGGGCATTTCTTTATCCACGGGCCACAGAACAACGGCATATATACTGCTGCTGCAGGAGGTTACTGGGTCCGCGCTGAGTCTCTGCGCTGGTCTCTCCCATGGATCTATACGGGTCTGCACTGGTCTCTCCCATGGATCTATACGGGTCTGCACTGGTCTCTCCCATGGATCTAGACGGGTCTGCACTGGTCTCTCCCATGGATCTAGACGGGTCTGCACTGGTCTCTCTCCATACGGGTCCGTGCTGCATGCTCCTGGATCCATACGGGTCCGCGCTGGTCTCTCAAGTCTGGTCTATGCGGTCTCTCTTCGGTCCGCGCTGGTCTCTGCGCACCGGTCTCTCAGTCAGGTCCAGTCAGGTCACTCCAGTCTATGCGGTCTCTCCTATAGGTCCGCGCTGGTTTCTGTGTGCTGGTCACTCCAGTCTCTCCTCGGGTCTGCATTGGTCTCAGCGCTGGTCCGCGCTGGATCTCCTCCCAGGGTCCAAAATATTTTGAGATTAATCTCAAAACATTTTGAGATTCATCTTTAAAATAATACATAATATATTTTTAAATTAAGCTCATAACATTTTGAGATTAATCTCATCATATTCTTAGATTAATCTCATAATTTTGCTAGTTCGACTTTATTATCATAATATTTCGCCTTTTAAGTCAACATTTTATAACTTTATTCTCAGTCTGGTAAAGGAAGAAAAAAGGGTGACTATTTTGCTCCGTGTAAAGGCCTGTTGCTGTTTCCTCTGCCGTCTGCACACGGCCCTGCAGTCCCTTATATGGGCATTAATGGGCGGTTACTTATGCTAAGTACCTATGCTAATGAAGCACCTGGCACGCGCGCTGTATTTACGAGGAAATGGGATTCATCAATCTGAGAGAACAGCTGCGAACAATTCAGCGGCTTACGAGTGCGTTGATGAATCCCACGTGGGGACTTCTTAGAAATCTACTTAAGGACAACTTGAGAAGAAAGTTGAGTAGTTTCTTACGAAGTTATTCGTGAATGAGGCCCATTGTATGTGACAAATATCTATCTATCTATCTATCTATCTATCTGAAATACAAATAAGTACCAAGCTTGAAAGATATGCTCTAAAATATGTATATTTTTATGCAAATTGTGAAATATTTAATGGACCACTATATTTCAAATTGATTAGATGATCATGTACATGTATGTTACTGTTTTGGAATTATTTACTGCAACTTCAAAACTTTATGCATATCATAATATGTTTGGGACACACACACACACACACACACACAGAGAGAGAACCATTATTTCAATTTGGAGAGACGAGAAAACAGAAAGCTTTTGAGTATTTTATTGGGAGGAGGTTTTGGCGCCCTAGGCCCCGGTGCTGCCTTCAGATCGGAGAGGCTCCTGCGATGGAGCGCGCCAATCCCCAAAAAGGCTGTGAGTTGATGGAGTTTTGCAGCCTGGTTTGGAGGGGACAGAACGTCGAGACTACTCTATGCTGTGACCGCTATCGCTATGCTGTGACCGCTATCGCTATATACTGTGACCGCTATCGCTATATACTGTGACCGCTATCGCTATATGCTGATGACCATCATGCGCTAACCATTTTTTGCTATATACTGTGACCGCTATCGCTATATACTGTGACCGCTATCGCTATATACTGTGACCGCTATCACTATATACTGTGACCGCTATCTACTGTGACCATCACTTGCGGATACTCAGCTGCTGCCGCCACCAGGAAGTTTAGCGAGTGTTTTATGGAGATGCCAAAAGCCGCTGGGCTGCCAGAATGGTCGAAGTGTCAGGCCTGATGTATGAGGAGAGGGCCGATGATGACCAGCGGCCCAGCTGCTGGAGGGCGGAATGGGGGAGCCCCAGGGACGCGGCGCGCGTGGCGGCGCCTATCCGGAAGGAGTGGGCTGTGTAGAGATGGGGAGACAGGTTACAAAGCAGCAGTACGGACTTGAGTTGGGCTCTGAACCAGTTGGAGGACATCGGGAGGTTATCGGGGGTAAGAAATAACGGTCTGTTGAGATCTCCTTTCCGAGAGCGGAGGCGAGTGTAATGCGTGGATCTGTAGGGACAGGGAGAAGTGTCAGACCGAGCTATGACTATATTACAAGCGCCTTTGCGTTTGGAATGCTTGAGGTGGAGGTTGAAGTAGTCGGGATAATAAGACAGGTCGGAGAAGGCAATGTCTTGGGCTGCATTGAAGGTGGTGTGGGGGTTAGTGAATTCGCTTATGCGTAAGAAGCCGTAAAAAGCGAGGAGGAAGACGCTGGACAAGAGGGCGATGGCGTACTTTGAGAGCGGGCTGGAGCTGAGTGCGGAGCAGAGCTGGTGGAGGTTGTCGCACGTCACGGAAATCCTTTTCCTATGCCACGTATGGTTCCGCAGCACGCAGGCTACGGTCACGGGATATATCTCGTGGAGCGCGGAGGAGATGCTTCGAGGGAAAGCGTCGGGCCGGGGCTCGGCGAACCACTGGTCCTGGAAAAAACCCCAAAACCCACGGACGGGGCTGCGTCCGTGAAGAACCGCGGGGCATCTGAGACAGGATGACGTCACTGTAAAAAAAAAAAGATACACCATCCCAGCGGCTCTGCAGACGGGACCGGAACGCCAGGTCGGAGCGGCGCCCCGCGTCCGGGCAGACAGCGTCATTGAGGGAGGAGACGGAGCCGGCGAGGGAGAGGAGTCTGGAATTAAAAGAACGACCTTGGGGAATGATACGGACGGCACAATTAAGATGCCCGAGGAGGGAGAGCAAGGACGCCTCGAAGTGACGGGAAGGCCAAGGCAGACCGGGAGAAAGCGCGGATGCGTTCGAGCTTGTCCAGCGGGAGGGAGGCCTCCATGGCGCGTGTGTCGCGGCGGATGCCGAGAAACTCCAGAGCGTTGGCGGGGCCTGTGGTCTTTCCGGAGTGGAGGAATCCGAGGGCAGAGAAGGCGGGCCTGAGCTTGCGGAGAGAGCCCCCGGAGCAGTCTGAGGGTGGGTTGACTACGAGGGAATCATCGGGGAGATGCAGACAGAGGGGAGCCGCGCGTAATTAAGCAGAATCCGACACGGCGCCTCCGAGAGATTGTTGAACGAGAGGGACTACTCCGGCAGTCAAAGGTGAGGCGCACTGCGAAGAAGAACTTCGACGCCACTTGACCCCTGAACAGCGCCAGTGGTCGGGGTGGAAGGCAGCAGCTTGAACGCGTCCGGGATGACGGCCTTGGAGAGCCAGGAGCCGGGGCCGAAAGTCTTTATCAGCCTGATCGCGTGGTCCACGGTAGCGGACTGCAGGGAGAAGGGCGCTGGAGGGAAGGGGCTGTTGATGCTCGGGCGGGCCCGGAGCGGGGACAGGAGAGGACGAGTATGAGACGCTTCTTCCTGGAGTGCTTGCGGGTGGCGATGCCCATCGGGTTAGAGCGAGACGGAGAGAAGGGGCCAATGACGTAGCCCACGGACACCTCCCGCGCCCGAGCCGCGTGCCGACTTGGGGCTCACGGAGAGCCGGGAAGAGGTTGCGGGACACGAGACGCCGAGGGACCTAAACAGAGCTTGCAGTCTAATGTGAGGGATTCAATAGAGCTTGCAGTCCAAAGTGAGGTATTAAAACTGAGCCCGCAGTCCAAGTGAGGCGTCTAACGGAGAGCCTGCAGTCCGGTGTGAGGGAGTTAAACGACCTGTAGTCCGAGGTGAGGGATTAAACTGAGAGCTTGTAGTCCAGAGTGAGGGATTCAACATTGCCCGCAGTCCTAAAAGAGGGATTTATAACTGAGAGCTTGTAGTCCAAGTGAGGGATTAAACCGAGAGCTGCAGTCCAGTGTGAGGGATTTAAACAGGTTTTACGGTCCAAGTGAGGGATTAACTGAGCCCGCAGTCCAAGTGAGGAGTTTAAACTGAAAGCTTACAGTCCAGTGTGAGGGATCCAACAGAGCCTGCAGTTTTTTATTTTCATTTATTTATTTATATTTATTTATATTTATATTTATATTTATTTATATTTATTTATATCTATTTATATCTATTTATATTTATTTATATTTATTTATATTTATTTATATTTATTTATATTTATTTATTTTTACATATAAGCGTTCCAGATATAAGCAGTACCATATATGCAGTTCCAATATGAGCAGTTCCATATATAAGCAGTTCCGTATATAAGCCGTTCCATATAAAAGCAGTTCCATATATAGCAGTTCCATATATAGCAGTTCCATATATAAGCAGTTCCGCATGAAGCAGTTCCAGGTACGGTATAACAGTTCCAGATAGCAGTTCCGTGAGGGATTAACCTGAGAGCTCGCAGTCCAATGTGAGGGATTCAATTTGGGAGCCGCAGTCCAAGAGGGATTTAAACGGGGCTTGCAGTCCAAAGAGAGGGATTTAAACGGAGCTCGCAGTCCAGAGAGGGATTTAAAGAGAGCCTGCAGGCCAAAGTGAGGGATTAAAACTGAGAGCACGCAGTCCAATGTGAGGGATTAAACTGAGATCCTGCAGTCCAATGTGAGGAATAACGGAGCTTGCAGTCAGAGTGAAGGATTTAAACGGAGCTTGGTTAAGGAGAGCCTGCAGACCAATGCGAGGGCTTTAAACTGAAGCTTGCCCACCAATGCACGGGGCCATCTGAGCCTGCAGTACAAAGCGCGGGGCGAACTGAGCCTGTAGTACATTGCGAGGGGAATAAACCGTCCGCAGATCACATACTTACCCACAACGCTAGAAGACAAGGGACAACACAACGGGACCACGCCGTACCGGCACGAGGAGGCAGGGATGCGCACGGCTCCCACCGCACCGGTCCAGACCGGCCGTATGCAGCAGCAGGCCGCGACGAGACGAGCAGCGGCGGACCCGCAGAAAGAGCCCGCAAAGGAGGAGAGCGGCAAAGACCCACGGACCACAGCACGAGACCCGCAGCAGGTGCAGCGACGCGGAGGAGGAGCAGACCACACGCAGCAAGACAGAGGACAGCAGGGACCGCAGGAGTAAGCGTGAGTAGACAAAAGCGATTCCTCCAGAACGATTCTTTGCAAGGCTTCGAGAAGGCCGAGAGTGGGAGTTTCTCCGCTTTTAAGCGGCTGCCTGGCCGGTACGGGTGATTGGAAGGGGGCGTTTGCTGTGCGATAGGCTGGGGATGTGAACCGGCCTGGAGGGGGTAACTTTGGCTGACGTCTACCAAATTGAATTTCCGCGGGCTGCATTTATGCCACATTGGAGAAATGTCAAAATACCAAAACATTTAAATGAAGTATAAATTATGAACTAAAATGCAAAAAGACCAGCCCAGACCTGTCTCTCGTGTAGGATAGTGAAGTGGTCTGGAGAGCTGTTGTGCTGCACCTCTGCCCCGGCCGCCCCTATCCGTGGGTCTGTACCACTCACCGCCAGAAGGCCCCTTTCAAAGACAAAACACACAACAGCCTCTTCTGGAGCAGCAGTCGTGATCCCAGCTTTGCATACATAAGGAGCAAGCTAGTGCACTGCCAAAAAGAGCAACTCAGTCACGAAGCACAAGGATATTATAGTTGGAGGAAAATAAGAAGCATTTGGGCGTCTCATTTGGGGCAGAAAGAGCATTATTCATCATGGCATTACAGACACTACAATTACATGTTTGCTAGGTGCAGATTTTAAACTTGGAAAAGCAAAAATACTATAACGGCATTTAAAAACAGTGCTGTCAAAGGGAAGTAACCTATTCAAATGATTGAGAGTATGAATGGTATTGGATTCTCATTGGTTGTGGCAGACAGGAGTGGAACTATACATTTACATACACTGTGTAGAAAGATCTAAACTGACCTATTTGTTTGCTCCATGCCACAATATGGAGAGAGGCATTTTGTATTTCTTTCTACAATGTCAGAAGTAAGGTGACATTCATCTCGTAGTATGTTTTTTGTAGAATTTTGTAGTAGTGTTTGGCTGAATTGACTTTAAAACGGTTTGACTTTACCCTTTACTTGACTGGAATTAAAGTCTCATTTCTCCAGAGAGTCTGGTTTGTAGAGACCACTTCACTCTCTTTGGGGATCTGCAAACACACTTTCTATGAGAATGAGATCTCCGAAAAACATCGGCACCCACTTTTTAGTTCTCTGCTGATCTCTGAAGATGTCTCTGCAAACTGTTCCTTGACAATATTTTTATCATTTGCATTAGTTTCTTCTGCGACAAGCTTGCAGAAATGACAAGTGTCAATCTTTTCCACTAAATGTAATTCGTCTTTGTGACAAAAACTACCCAAAGTAAGGTTTGTTTTAGTTGAAAAGCTTTCTAGTAATTGATTTTGCTGGAGTGATAGTATAAAGTATGGACATCTATCAACATTCATGGACATTGGTCTCTCCCTATGGACCAATACATATGTGTATTTTGTGTCTTAACTGTTGATTCTCTGATCTGTGTTGGTGATTTCAATGGTTTTGTTAAGTCCTCTGAGAATACTGCTGTTGTGATTTAGGGCTGTACAAGAATAAATTGTGTTGTATTGTATTTTATTGTATTGTAAAGTAAGTATACACTGAAAAACCATTGTCACTCACACACACTGAATATATGATTATTAACTTTATTAATCTCAGACCGGAGAAATGTACTTGTCACATTTGGCACAGATAGAATCACTCAGATTGTGCAAAAGACAGACGTGTGCAGAACATGTTATGGTTAAAAATATAGTCTGTGCAGGATACATTATATAGACAATACACACCCACACACACACACACTCTGGTGTCACTAACACACTGATATCCATAGCTCCTTGTCTGGTCGCCGTGTGCCTTTGGGCAATAGCTAAACACCCTTCAACACTTGATGACAACTCCTCAGCAGTGAGTAATTTAGCTCCTTAATTGATTTAGTGGTCGGCCTAAAGATGCTCTCACTTACCAGAGATTGAATTAATTCTCCGACATCATATTTCACTGTCACATTGAGCAACTGTTCACTTCATTTCTCTTCATGTTAGCATTTGAATGGGGAAAAACAGGCACACATTGTTTAGAAAGAACCGGTTTATATAACAGTTAAATGTGTGTCATGTGTCTCAGGATTGTGGCCTTTAGCTTTGTCCCACAGTCCCACAGTCGCACTCACAAACACACACTCATTCACCGTCACAGTGGTTAGCATTCATGTAAATCATTGAACTATGTTGTTACACACAAACCGTCTGTGGATGATGTTAACCTTGCAAGAATGCAGTTGGCTGCTTTGAATAAACTGCTCATTTGTAAAGAATCAGACATCATACATATCATATTATTATACTGTTGTTTATTCTGCTCATGTTCTCCGCTGCTAAAGTCCAATATATACATATGTAAATACTTCTGAACCACGTGCAATTATAGCTCCAGAGTTTAATTTATTTTATTTTATCCTACTTTGCCATCTTACTTTCTTATTTTAATTATACTGTCTATAATCTTATGAATCTGAGTCTTATTTCCTTCTTTCTCTGCTGTGATGTGCGCAACGATGACATTGAAATTTCCCCACTGTGGGACGAATCTTATAGCCGGGTGTAACCGTACGTGTCTTTGGTCTTTCCACAGCATCCTTTTCGCTGACATAGTGGGATTCACCAGCTTGGCCTCGCAGTGCACAGCTCAGGAACTGGTCAAACTGCTCAACGAACTCTTCGGGAAGTTTGATGAGCTGGCAACAGTAAGTCTCAGCTGCACTCCCACTCCCAATGTGTTCAAGTTCTGCTTCTCCATGCATGTTTAATAGAAAGTCATAACCCAAGATCCTCCTACCTCTTTTTGTAGGCCGCTGCATACTATATCTGCTCCGCAATTGTCTTGTTGGATATTCTCGCACAATGTGGGCTTAAACATGTACTGTATATATTGTTTTTATTTGAATTGAAAATGAGACCTGACTGTACTGCACTGTATAAAGTCCACCGCGAAAAATACATGTATTGAAAATATGACTAATGATCAAATTGAATGAATGTTTATTAAAAGTGCAGTCAGGGTGTGGATTGATCCTGTCAAGATCTTGGGTTATGACCATGTTCCTCAGAAATTAGTTGGTGTAATTTGACAAAAGCAGTTCAGCTTAGTTCAGCTCCCGGGGACCCATCTCCAGATGTTCATACTCGGCTTGGTCAGGACTAGCCTGGTCTTACCATGTGTAAACTCTGGTCCATGATCATTTCCTACATGTACGTCTGGGTCTGATCCTAGTGGCTGCAGTTTTCTCGGTTGAATCCCCTCCGACCAATCAGAGAGCAGGGGAAGCGGGTGTTGTAGGTCGGTGTCGTTGACAACAAGAGTTTGCGCCAAATTTTCTGGTTGTAGTTTTGCAACAGTGGCAAATGTGATAGTAAAGTAATCTGTTCTGGTTCAGCTCAAGATATTAAAACCGGCGCAAGAAGCATGTTTAGCAAATGTCATTGCTGCAAAGATGTTGTGGCAAAGGAGATGGCTAAAGCTAGGCTAAATGCTGAAGCTAGACTAAATGCTAAATGCCTCACTCACTAGGGCTCATGACATACGTCACGGTAAACTCAGATCCAATCGTTTCAATCTCCAATAAAGCAAATCCAGACCTTAGTACAAAATAAAGTCCGTATGGTGTGGTAAGACCAGGCTATGTCAGGACCAGAGCTGGAGGATTATTGTACATGTTTTTAGTGGTAGAACCGGAGCACTCGGTGGAAACCTACGCAGAGACATGGGTAGAACATACAAACTTCACTCAGAAAGACCTGGTCCGACCGGGATTGGAACCCCATGCTGCCAATAGCCCATACAGTCTCTGGAAAGGTCAGGTCAGGTCTCACAACCAGCCGCTCATCTCTCATCTCGTTCTCATCAAATGGCTGCAGTAGTTCACGGACACAGCTGTTGCAGTGCTCTTCTCTTTATCAAACTGAGTCCCAAAAGTCTCACTGCACCAGATCCAACCCACTCTTATCTTTGCTCTGTCAAAAAAAAAAAAAAAAAAAAGAAGCCCTCTCCTCACGGCTTCCCCCAATCTCCCGCTCCCACTTCCGCCTCCGTCTTGACCTTCGCCCGCCGGCTCCGTTCTCTGTTGCGCTCCAGCCTCCAGCGATAGTCACCGGCACTGATCGATGCGCGAGCCTCGGCCTAATAAATCAGCGGCCGGTGAATTATGCATATTCAGAGGCGTTGTGCGGCGGAGAGATCCCACTAGCTGGAGCATGAACCGCACACATGCTTTCATAACTATCTACGGATGCAGGAGTTTGGTGATTATCGAGGGGGATCCAACTTTGAGAATTTCAGAAGAGACTTTCAGCATCATGTATGGACCGACGTGGACCTACCCGAGGTTTCTCACTTTTCTTCCACTGGGTTTTAGGGCTGTTTCTTGCAGATGCAGGAGGGTTTGTTACACTGTTAGTGTTGGGTTTAACAAGAAGGACTGTGGTGATGATCCAGGACATTTATCAACATTCAAGGACATTGGTCACCTCCCTATGTTCCAGTATTTACAGTATTTACAGCTAGCTAAGAAACATAGCTACTACTCACTTATTTTGTATATTCTGTGTGCTCCCTGTGTGTCTTACTACTGTCCTGTATGTGCGCTGCAACATTGAAATTTTGACGCACACATTGCACACCTAAACAGAGTTCTTTTGAGCCTGATTTTGAACAGTGCTTGTTCTTGTTTCACATTTTCAGAAAAACTATTACAGATTTTTGCTGCATGAAGCTGTAATCGAAGTCAAGGTATTAATGATTAGCGTGGCCATACAGTTGAAATGAAAGAATTATAAAAAAATAAGAATAATTAAGAGGTCTTCAGCCTAAAAAAAGGTTTACGATATAATTCCATTCAATTAATTTTTGTATAGACCTAAATCACAACTGCAGATTCAGATTCATTTTATTTGCAGTAAAACCACATTGGAATACATTTGCAAAAGTCCCCAGTGTGCACCAGACAAGCACATATATACCTGTAACAACATGGATAAAAGTAGTCAACATTCATGGACATAGGTCAACTCCCATATGGACCAGCATTTACAGCGATCTAAGAAACATAGCTACTACTTATTTGGTATATTTTGTGTGCTCCCTGTGTGCTCTTACTACTGTCCTGTCTGTTGCCCCCACTGTGGGACGAATAAAGGATCTCTGGGGCAACAGTGGCTCGGTTGGTAGAGTACTGGCCTTTGATCCTGAAGGTCGTGGGTTCGGGCTCACCACAAGACTTTCGCCACCGACTCCCACTGATGTCTGTTGTCGTTGTGTCCTTGGGCAAGACACTTCACTCACATTGCCTAGAATGAGTCTGGTGTGTGTGGATGGAGGTGTGCACTGTCAGTGTGCCCCAGGGCAGCTGTGACTACAGTAGTTTATCACCACTGTGTTTGGAGTGAAAGAATAATGACATGTGAAGTGTCTCTAAGTGTCCAAAAAAGTTCTGTATAAAACTGATGCATTATTATTATTATCTCATACCCATGTGTTCTATATTCTCTGTGAACAGCTTGATTCTCTGATCTGTTGTTGGCGATTTTACCAGTTTTGTCAAGTCCTCTGAGAAAACTGCTGATGTGATTTAGGGCGATACAAGAATACTGTACAGTACATTGAATTGAATTAAATTGAATGTATGGAGTGTTTTTACCCTGGCGCTTTGCTGTAGCTCGTTCTCAGCTGTACTGTGTGTACTGAGCCAATAATGACTTTGTAAGTGATAACACACGTTTTCTATTACCTGCACTTTAATTATATCTCTTGTTGCTGAATGCTGCTGAAGACTCAGGGTCATGAAACTGATATTATTGAATTGATTGATTGATTTTTATTCATTTGAGCAGACATTTAAGTATTTACAGTATTTACATTTATTATTTAACATGACCTTTTGTACATGTCCCCAACAGTAAATACTTACACGTGCAATTATATATACATACATATTCAATCTAGCAGCAGTATTTGCTCTAGTTTCACCCTGAGTTGTATATTTACAATTTCAATATATATCTACAAATGCATTTCTATTTACATTCTATTAGAACTGTACATGTTCGATTCAATTTCAATTCAATTTATGTTTGTAAAGCCCTAACTAAATAACAACGAGGTTCAAAGTAGAGAAATAAAACAGAGCACTTTATATCCTTCGGCTGTCTTTAAATGTTGTATGTAAATAGATTTTATTTGATATCTAAATATAGCACTATGCTAATTCCCTGACATTTAAGAGACTGTAACATTCATATGTACAGTATTTGCAATGTTAGTGTTTTTCAGGTACAAAGTAATTGGATTCTCATTCCAAGTGTGAAATTGCTTCTGTTTTCTTATTTTATGGCATATAAGTCTAAAATCATCTCCCGTGTCCATCCACAAACTACAGTAGGAACAGCTTCATGTTCACAGTGACGCCACCCCCATCCGTCCCAACCGACGAAAGGGGGTGCACTGGAGCTCCAATCTACGCCGGCAGGCGATAAACAATGATCCACCCTATCCTGATGCGCCTGATGTCCACGCCGCCCATCCGCGTGTATCCGCCCCTATGATCCCTGGGACCAAGATGAGAGAGATCATACGTCCTCTCCTCTTACCCAACCTGATAACCCTCCCCAACCCCTTATTTCCCACTTCATATCCACCCATCGATTCCCCCCAATTGTCCCACTATATCTACCCACCTATAATACCCCATCAGCCTTACTAAAATGCATACTTCACGTCTACTCTCTTTAACTATCATTTTTCTACCTAAACCTCCAACCCAACCAAAAATTCTCATATAACACCTCCAATATTCCTTTACACATCCCCCTCCTACCCTCATTCAAACAATCTCCTCCAAACCCCCCTCCTCCTACTCCAACCCATTAACTCACACCCCTCTTCTTCTACCCAACTCCCCCCAACTTTCCTATTCCCTCCCAACATTACATCCTCCCCTCTACATCCACCCTCTCCCTATTACATTATCTTCTTAACCCATTTACTCTTAATTTTAATTCCCTCTCAATCCACCCACCCCCACCCCCCCCCCTACACCCTTCACCCCCCTATCACATCCCCCGACCCCTCCCCATAACCACACCCCCCACACACCTCCCACCCCACTCCCAACCCCCACCCCCCCCCCCCACCACACCCCCCTTCCATCAACGTCTCCCCCCAACAACATCCCCCCCAACCCACAACCCCCCGTCCCCACCACCACCCCCCCCCACACATCCCCACGCCCCCGCCCCCCCCTCCCCCACTCACCTACCACCCCCCCCCCCCCACCCACCCCCCTACAATCATATACATTTGCTCCACCGCCCCCCCCCTGATCTACACCTCACACCACCTACCACTCCCCCCAAACCCCTTCTTCTCTCTTCCCATCCCACTCTGCCATTCACTACCCTCTCATCCACCACACATCACACCCCTTCACCCCCACTCCCCCCAACACATTCCCAAATATCATCTCAAACCTAACCTACATATCTCCCTTCCCTTCCTTACTATTTCTATAATATATATACTATAACTTTACATATACATATATATATATTTTTCCTCCCCACCTCCCATCCAACCCCCACCTATCCTAAAACACACATACTATAAATCCTTTACCACATACCCCAAACCCCCCCCTTTCACAAACACACAACTAAACCACCCCACCCCCTACTAATAATACTCTTCTACATCACTCTTCCATCAATCCCTATCCAAAACCCCATTCACCCCCCTACCCTCAACACACACCCAAATCTTGTAATTTAAAAGCCTAATATTGTGAATAAGCCGATTAAATAAATATGTACGTGTATGCTTCGTAATGCATTCACAATTGGAATCATAATGTCAAGTTGCAGTCGATGTATGCAAATCCAATTGATTGAAGACTCTTCTTCTGTCAAGCACACTTCACTGTGTGTGATGTGGATATTACCATAAAAATTGCATGGGTTCAGATGTGTTTTATATTGGATTTTATATGACAGCTGGCCACAAAGAAAAAACTGTGGTGCATTCTGGTTTGTGCTTATTGGCTTGCAGACAGATCAACACATCTCAGAGCAGAGGGGAATCCAGTATCAAAGTGCTGACTGGGCAGAACCTTTGCGCAAGGGAAAAGCTTGGAGCCACCATGTTAAAGCTTTACATATTTATCTCAATACAATAGTCCCCTTGGCCGACACAGTAGTGCTGAGTGAGGTGATGGAAATCACAACATGTCATGAATGTAGAACACACACACCAACAGTATAATTGGAAGTCAATGCCCACTATTCCACAGACTGCATTCAAGATGGTTGCCATTCGAGACAAAATTCCATCCAAACTGAGATTATTAACAACACAAGAGTTTTAACATTGGAAACAGAAGACGAAGGGTTGTTACCCTCCCCAATATGTCTCACCAGTTTTAGTGTTTGGCATTTTATGGGTACAATGAATAATATGTAATCAATCAATTCTACTAAACATCAACATACTGCTTGTGCCAGAAAAGCAATGCAAGTCCTGTTTCACAAAGCTTGCCGTTTCCACTGAAGGTATTTTCATAATGCATTCTTATTAGCAATCTAAAAATAGCGGCTAGTTGAGGGCTATGATGCGGGTTCTAAATCTGACAAGCACAGAGGGAGCGTCATGACCAGACCAGCTGCCAGAGCCTCATGAAAAAACACAAGAACTCCCACTATGCAATAAATCTCCAGTGGAAAAAACTCACATAGAAAAAAAAACCTGCTCCATTCAAAGAATGTCACAAGCAACAGTTAGTTTCTTCAACTGGAGACTACGTTCAAAACAGCTACCCGATGTTTTTTATTCCCTCGAGACAATGAAACATGGGTGTAATTCTTAAACATAGACTGGAAGTATGCTGCAACGTTTCACTTGTCTTCATGTGTACAAAGAAGCTCATTTTAATGTAAAAAAGAAAAAGAAACATTTTATTGTACAGCAATGCATGGGAACAGTCCATGGTACTGTCCATGGCCTGAAACTACACATATAATCATAATGGTGTTGTTATCAAAAAGTAGGCTGTGCATCCAAAATAATAATATGCAATCTAGCATTAATTACACCATTTAAATTAATGTTACATTTTTAAATTGACTTTTATGGTACTAGTTTGGAGCCTATTTAAATGCCCTCATCATCTATGGTGTAGGAAAAGTTTTTGAACCCTGCATTCGCATATTGGGGCAAAAGGGTCATTGCCGGACAGCGCCATGCTGCTTAGAGGCTTACAACTTGAAACAGGAAAAATAACCCAATCCACCCACATGAAATATTTGGTGGATTGGTAATTTTCGGCCTGTTTTCTCAGTTGTAAGCCTAAAAGGCAGCATTGCGCTGTCCGGCAAATGACCCTTTGCCCCAATATGCGAACTGCAGGGTTCCAAAACTATATTCCAAACCATAGATAAGAGGGCATTTAAACTAGGCTTCCAAAATAGTACCATAAAAACTTTCATTTAAAAAGTAACATATAATTTAAATGGTGTAATTAATGCTTAGATTGCATTTATTATTTTGATGCACAGCTACTTTTAGAAAACAACACCATATGAATATATGTCGTTCAGGACCAAGGACAGTACCCTGGACAGTACCATGCACTGCTGTACAATAAAAATGTTTCTTTTTTCTTTTTACATTAAAATGAGCTACTTGTACACATGAAGACAAGTAAACGAGGCAGTAAAAAAAACAATACTTCCATTCCTATGTTTAAAGAATTACACCCATGTATATCAATTGTCTCGAGGAATAAAAAACATCTGGGAACTTTGAACGTAATCTCCAGTTGATGAACTAACTGTGGCTTGCTTTACATTCTTTGATGGAGCAGGTTTTATATGTGAGTTTTATTCCACTGGAGATTTAATGCATAGTGGTGAGTTCTTGTGTTTTTCATGAGGCTCTGGCCTGCTGGCTGTCATGCCCTCCCTCTGTGGCTTGTCAGATTAGAACCCGCCATAGACCCTCAATACTAGCCGCCTATTTTTAGATTTGCTAATAAGTGATGCATTTATGAACCTACCTTCAGTGGACACGGAAAGCTTTGTGCCCCGGACTTGCATTCTTTTCTGGCACAAGCCAAGTTATGATGAAGTTAGAGAATTCGATTGATTAAATATTATCATTGTACCCAAAAATGGCCAAACACTAAACAGTGAGACAATTGGGCGTAACAACCTTCCGTCTTCAGTTCAAGTTAAAACCTTGTGTATGTTTAATAATCTCAGTTGGATGGAATTTTGTCTCGAATGGCATCCTTGCTAATGCAGTCTGTGAATAGTGGGCATGAAACTTCCAATTATTAACTGTGTGTAAGTTCCACATATCATGACATTGTTGTGATTATCCATCACCACACAACAGCACTACTGTACGGCAAGACGATTGTATTGGATAAATTTTTAAAGCTTTAAACATGGTGAGCTCCCAAGCTTCTTACCCTGCGCTAAGCGTCTTCCAGTCAGCACTTTGATACTTGATTCCCCTCTGCTCTGAGATGTGTTGATCTGTCTGCAAGCCAAAAGCACAAATCAGATGCACCACAGTTTTTCTTGTGCCAGCTGTCATATAAATCCAATAAAACACCATCTGAACCATGCAATATTTATGTAATATCCACATCCCACACATGTCGAAGTGTGCTTGACAGAGAAGAGGCTTCAAACAATTGGGATTTGGACCCCCCCCAATAACCCCCCCCCCCCTTCCCCCCCCGCCTTTTTGCCAAACTTGACATTATGATTCAATTCGTGCTGCATTACGAAGTCATACCACGTACATATTTATTAAATCGCGTTATCACAAATTAGGGCTTTAAATTACAGCTGTCACTAACAGTTACTTTAAGTAGTTGACCATTTTGTGATAAATCTGTGATAAAAAACCCACAACTGTACTGTATGTATAAATGGTAAGTACGCCTGAAGTGCAGTGCAAGTATATACAAGTACATCTAGGCCAGAAAGTCTGTGGATATTTACACCTACAACTGGGGTGCTCAAACTTTATCAATCAAGAGCTACTTCTCCATTAACCCTGGATCAACCTTAGTTTTAAATGTGTAAAAGATTCAGAAATCCTCACAATTTATGCTAGTATATCCATGACTGAAATTAACAATCCATGCTTTTTTAACTGATGAACAATAACAAATCAATTGACGAATAGAAACCAAGTCGAAAGATGATACGGTTTACTAGTTTTTGCAGTCCTGGTTTGTACGAATGTAGTCATTGCTACTCGTCCTTGTTCAGTGGCAAGAGCTCTGGTGTGTGCCGTCCTTCTCTGTCTGGTGCACACTGGGGGTAGTTCTTGCAACAGTTTTTCGCAAAGTGGTTTTTACTCAAATGGCAACTAAATGAATTCTAAGAATCTGAGTTGTATTTACAGTCTGACTAAATGGTGTTTTAAAATGTATTTTATTATCATGAAAAAGCTTCATGAAAAATGTTTGCATTCCCATGTGCAGACCCCACAGTATCATTATAAAAAAGCAGTTATGGTGGATTTTTTATGTTTTTATTTGTGCACGGAGCCTGGAGGCCAAGTGGTGTTTAGCCGTCAGCCTTAAACTTCAGAGGGCAGACCAGTTACTTTAACCGGCCTTCTGAAGTTATTAGTTTCAAATCCTTGGGACTATTGGTCTATGTACTGTTTTGCTTTAATAGTCTAGCCTCTGTCAAATATTTCTCCTGCCTTCTGGACCTGGACACACGCTGTGGCATAAATTAGATCCCTGGTCTCCTGCTGTATCTGCCTTTTCTCAGCTAATGTGTGGTTGTTTCAAAAAGTCTTGCAGAATTGCAATTCTAACATAGTTAAATGGCCAAATCAAACATAGAGCCCGAAGACAAGTGAGTGGGAGTCTGTCCACATAGAGCATGCTAACACCAAGTAACAAGTAGTTTCTGCCGAACTCCGCTTATGGACGCATTGTGGCTTTAGATCCACTGAACATTGCACCCTAATGTTTTTTCTTGGCTGCACGTTCGATGCCCTACAGCATCGAAGGCTGAGTCAAAGCAGAGAACAAATTTTCCATCACAAGAAAGAACACGTTAACTGAAGGCCTATGTCCCTCAATCCAGAATCCGACCCTGTTATTTAGTGAACATGATATACAGCGAGTTTGTTGCTTGTGCTTACGAATCAAGCTCCAGGCCCCACAATCTTTTATTTTGGGATATAAAACAGATTTCTCAGATCAGCTTTTGTGTAGGTTCCCGTTTAAGGGTGAACCGTAGCTCGGAACAGAACTCATAAAAAACGACTTGGTGTATGTGCCTTTCAAGATGAAAGTGAAAGATGTCTCCTATAACTACAGCTTGAAGTAATTAAGGAAATCAAAAACTGCTCTGGGCATGTGTA